TATATATATATATATGATAGTAACAATAAACTCGCGGTACTTAGGCTAACGTCGGGCATCTAGCGCTAAGAATAAAAATAGGGGTCGTTCTCTACCTTAGAAAAAAAAACCAAAAAAGAAATTAAAGAAATACTACGAGCGTAAACGCTATTCAAGGAGAATCAGGAAATAAACAATGTAACACCGATACAAGTTTCACAGAAGTCTCGTGCAAGAGATTTCAGTAGGGGGGAATATGAGGATATACAACGTACGGTCTTGCAAAGCCCTAAAACGAACGTTTCACGAGTAAAAACTCAACGCTGGACCTGCCGCGGCAGAGACGAGTTTCGTATAAAACCATCGACACAGTTTTTTTTCCGTTCCTTTCCGAAACGACTAACACCTTACTAATATAAAGGAAGACGTGTGTATGTTTGTTTCTTCTTTTTCTCTTCTCTGACTGAACACAATGGCGTTCTCCGTCGGGAGTCTTATCGAAACTCAATCCCACACAACTTATAACGATACTATATATACAGTCCGTGTACCTGGCGTTAAGTTATTATCAGTCTTGCGGCTCTCAAGAGGGAAAAAAAAAAGAAAAACAATTGTAAAATTACGGGCGCCTATCGCGCGACATGTTTCTGTTCATTCGTACACACTGATCGATGATTCTCCAGGCGGTAGAAAAAGAAAAAAAAAACAATTAATTCGAGTTTGTTCAACTAATTTACGAGGATGACACACACTCGGCGGCTTCGCTAGTTTGCTGACGCGCACCTACTCGTTTCAATCGACTTGCGTGAGACACACAGATCAATAGGGAGTAGGAGAATAACAATTCAGGACCATAACTCGATCGATCCACGTGTTAACACATCGACTGCCACAGTGACAAGAACAGTACGTAGTCAGACACACTTTAGTTCGTTCTTTTAAGGAAGAAAAAAAAGTTCTTTTCTGGAGGAGTAGAGTGTCTCTATTCGAATAAATTTCATAGTGTCATATCTCTGTCGTCAGGCATCGTTAACACGTTTTACAAGACCGCAGAAGAATAACGTAACGGGACTTGGATGTGTATGTGTGTAATGATTCTTGCCGCTTGGACCGTCGATAATTATTGTCAATTGCTGCGAGGCGGCAGGCATCATTGGAGCACAGCATATATACGGGACAGTAATGGTTTAATTAAGTCACGTTCCCACTTCGGAGACTAACTCTGTCCCTCTTACTATAGATCTTCGACCACGCTTTACAAGTGGATACAACGAAATATTAATATTCTCGGTGTAAATAGTACAAAAAGAAAAAAGAAAATCCATTGGAAACTTCGTGACATTTCAGGGCAAGTGTATATACAGTCACAGTGATTTCTACTGAAAAAATTTCTAAAAATCTAATGAAAGATTAAAAAAAAAAAAGTAAAAAGTACTAGTTGTAGCCACTGTGCCGTGTTCGTTATTGTATAGTCATAGGAACATCGAGTGCCACGGCATAGATCCACACAAAATGCAAATAAACGTACATCAGATTACATACAATCGATCACAAAATAAATAACTTAATTCGAGCATGTGTACATATACATACCCCTGTCCCCAGCAAAAGGGCTGAGGAGGAGTCTTCTTTCAGAACTGACTAACTAAACGCCTCTGAATAAATCGTAAATAAAAGTCGAACGTGATAAAAATTCAATTGATTCCGCAATAAAGTCTATTTCATTTATATATATATATATACGTATTGGACGAATGTTTTACGAAGATATTTAATCGACAGCACACGATTCATTGAGAGGCACTTTAATGTATTGCTCGAGTGGAAACGTGGTTTAATTTTAAACAGAGAACTTGACACCGAGGTATACGCACACGTTCAGATTGCCACCTTTTCGAAGTTTCTCTGCAAAGACTTCTTGGTATTCCCGCGATTCTCCTCGACTAGTAGTGCAGTTTGAAATGATTTCAACGCGAAAAGGTGGCACGCCTGCACGAGTAACACGCCGCCATGTTTCTTTCGGTTCGTCAAACTCATTACTATTAATATATACATAGGCATATATATATATATACATAATATTTCGCGTTCATTCTTACGCAGGGCATCTTTATACTATAACTCAAACGGAGTGACTTGTCATTTGAAAATTGTTTTTAGAACGATCCTACGAAAAATTGTATATCTCACATTTGTGTTGGTTACTTTTTCAAATGAGAAACCACTCCATTTTCTATTTTACAGCTAATCAGAGCCCTGCATGCACACACAGAGAGAGGTGTATATATATAGAGAGAGAGAGAAAGAAAAGCTCTATTGTTTCGTATATAAAGAATCAGGAAAATAACACAGTGCTCCAATAATTTTTGTCGTTCACAACTGAAAATATTGCGACACGAACGGCAAGAATCATTGGACGACTGTGCGTCGTGTCGAGGGACAAATTATACTTGTTCGAGATCGAAAGTATCGATATTCGTTCGTTCTGTTTTTTGTAAACGTTCAGTCGTTCAAGATATTCTTCCGTGGTGTCCGAATCTCTTTTTAACACACGGTGTTACGCGGGGTACAATATGTCTGGAATGAATCGCGCACAAGATACAGTATAAAACAGAACAAAAATACAGGGGGGGGGGGTTGGATCTTGTGCAAAAAGGTCGGGGATAATTGCAACGACGGGGGAGAGAGAACAGGCCGGGAGACACGGCAGTCTCGAAAGTTTGAGTATGATTTTATAGTCTGTTCGATCGTTCAATTTACGCACGCGGGGATAAAATATGTACAACACACGTCGAGTATATAATATATAAAACATTTGTCGAGAATTAAAAAATATCAATTTCATTTCTTACATTCGGTACGGATTCTGGCAGCCTATTCGTCGAAGAGATCTCTGGTTGCAAAAAAAAACATATATGTATTCACGATTCTAAACGGAACGAGTATGCGATTGGTCGTACAGGGTAAGTACAAATATAGTTCTGATCGTCGGGTGAACACTAAACGAGAGGGGTAGATCTGCGAGCATAATGGATAAAATAACATTATTCTTTGCGAAGTCGAAGGTTCAAGGCCGTGTCGCCGATTATATACACACTCTATTACAATGAAAATTTCACACACCGTTCTATGGAACAACTTTTAAGTACAACGACAGGTTGCTGAGTACCTCTGAGGAACTAGTCCGGGGAGAGTCGAGTGACTATAGGCACATCGTGGGAAGACTATTACAACGACGCTGGGAAACGAAAATACGTGTACACCCTGCTAGTACGAATCTAGGGATTTCGAGTTAAATAAACTATGTGTCACAATGGATAAAAGACAGCCCATTGAGCTTTATACTAATACTATACTACTATTAGTATAGAGCTGAATGAGACAACCCCGTTGGGTCGTTTAGAAGTACTTGACGTTTCGAGCGCAGTATTATTATCCTTTCATCGAAGTAAAAAATCGCTTCGTCTAGCTAATTATACACTTGTTTCTGAGAATACATCTCGTATAGGTACCCCCTGGAAAAAAGTGAACGCGCACAGAGTATATTTCCTATTCTATTATTTACAAAGGCACTGTTATATCCTGTCAGTCAAAAAATTAAATATCTTTCGAAACGTCCTTCTAAACGAACCAACGCTAATTACAATTCTTCGATAGCGAAAAACGCCTAACAGATTCGACATCCATCGACTATGATATCCGGTTCTAATGCCCAGCTAGCAGTCTAGCGTCCAACGTTTCGTGCACACGAGTTCTGTTCGCGAGGATCGCTCCTTTCCGAGGGGTTGGACGGAAGCCATCTACGGACCCAATCGTCGTAGGTCCTGGTTCACAGAGATGTGCCCTAAATGCATTCATCACGTTCACTCTACAACACGACCTCCCCCACGATTATCACACGTGCTTCCACGCCGTTTTGTACCACCGTAACCACGGGAACGTCCCTGCAAAGAAAAATCTCGTTTCCTGAGTATCTGTACGATGCGAACGACCGAGAAGAGGTGGTAGACGGACATAGTAATGTGTGTGTGTGTGTGTCTGGGTATTCTCGTACGAGCCAGTCGTACGTGCCGTATCGTGGCCGCAAAGGCATGCGATAATAATAGCAGCGACTCTTGCTTTTTCTGCCTCTTCTTGGAAACAATAGAGAAGAAAGCAAAAGAGAGTGGACTGAATTTCGTCGTCTCGCGTTACTACGTGCATTCACTCACTAACTCACGCACACACATATGTACATACACACTGCAAATGTAATTCGAAACAAGGATACAGATAAAGGACACAGAATGTCACCCTGTATCGTGACGATCGACCTCCAGCAAAAATTCTTTCGACGATTCTGATCGGTGTAATTTCAGAGATCTGAGACTTTCGTTGCTAGCTGTTATGCAGTTATTACTGTTGGAGAAGAAACAACAACGTTTTGCCAGCATGGGTAACTTCATCAGGGGCTAAACAATGCACTGGTATGATATCAGTGAGACTTTCTGTTGTATCTCATGATTAATCTCTGATAACTCTATACAATTTCTGAGTATTGGCAGGAGATACTACTTAGATATATTCTAAGTACCCAAAGTGACGTTCCAACCGTCCTGATGAAGCTGACGCACGATGCTGGCGAAACGTTGGAATAATTTCGTCCAGAAGGCCTCTAGAGTAATAATTGTGTAGACTCTTTGTCCTAGATTATTCCCTCCGAAGGGACAAAATTGTACAGGGAATTAGGAAATGCCGAGTTGCAAAGGGTTAATATCGATGTGGGCATTTGTTGAGTGCAAAAATTCTTTTCGTCGAACGGAACAATATCGGGCCGATAAGAACGCACTTGTGCTTTTCGTAAAACACGGTTGTACATACGTATATCGTTTTCGCGATAGCCCCGCGAATGGAATTTTAATCTCCACCTCGAACTCGTACGAGATAACGTCTCCGGGTGGCTTTGATACTTTGCCGACCACTCGATATCGTGGAACGTGCAACGTAGAGTGGTACCAGAGACGTATGGTTCGATACGTGTGCAAATATCGTGTGTATATATGTATTATTGTTATATACACAACACTGCTCGAGGAACAGTCCTTACCAACAGGTGCGATGACCACACCGGTAAGAATCGTTCGAGCAATTGATCGTAATCGAGGAACGCTTTAACCTGTGATCGACGCGTGTCGTGTACTCGTACAATCAGAAACGAAATACAGTACGGAATCAACGCGAATCGAACGTAATACATGATCTCTAAGTGAAGCTCACAATGGGATCAATAAAATGATTAAAAATTCATAGAGAATATTCTATGCACGCGTATTGGTCTGAGACTGAATTTGTTTCGCAGACGGAGGGGCCATCGCATTCGAAGAGAAAATGCTCTGCTCGTAGGCGTTTAGTGCCGATACCAATTTACAAGACGATAATAATGACCAATAGGGGATTAACGCGTGTAGGAAAATGGTTATGCAACCGCTCTGGTCCCAGTTACAGCGTTAACACCGATTGCACGAAGAAAAGAAAAAGAGACAATATCGGTTAGCACCGGCGAGACGATCAGGAAGACAACGCGGATGGACAGGTGTACACGCTTCTTGACATAAGCGTCCGCACTTTCGTAACTGTGTCGGATGTTGCGTGCAACATTGTTGACAATCGCAGTCGACCTCGTCCCGATAAAATGTTTCTACAGTTGCACTGCTGTCCTCACGAGCGGTTACGTTCGAAACGTCACGAACTTTCACGCGGAACAAACACTACTCGAAAGAAAAATGTACATATAAAACGATGTTTCCGCGTAGTCGTTGATCCCCAGACGACAAACAAACGGATCGTGATCAGTTTCGCCCGAAACCGCTCGCAGCGCACGTTTCTCCTCGTTGCAACAGACTTTTATCGAGCTTGTTCATCGCGCGTTACATACTAAATAAATAACAACCCTCGACCCACCCTACCCAAGAGGAACCCAATAATTTAAAAAAAAAAAAAAAAAAAAAAAAAAAAAAAAAAAAAAACAATAACCCGTGTAAGTTCGTACGACACTGGCAGGGACTCGAAAAAGATAAACGAGGAATAGAAAGAGAGATATATAGATAGAGAGGATACAGAGAAAGAAGGGGAAGACAGTAATAGTAGTTTCGAGAAATAGGAATGGACGAGACCAGCGAGATTTTGGTCAACTCGAAAGATGGAAACTTATCTTGACGGACATTATCCTCGGCTTTCGCGGCCAAGTTCCAGGAAAGAGGAAGTGGAGAAGGAAGAAGACGACGAACGAGACGAAGACGACACATATGGCAATTCTCCGTGTTGGCAGCTGGGGGCGGAGGGAAAAGCCTTCGTGTGAACCCAATAATTCCGATGATCGTAGAGGGCGCGTTCTTTGCGTGTTTTTTGCTTCGCTGTTGCACGGCTGCTGATGGTGTAGATCGTTGCGTGTGTGTGTGTGCACGTTGCTATCTGGAACGAAAGAAACGGAAACTATATTTCAAGTCGTTCACTTAATAGTACAATCAATTGTGTTTAACAGGTTGTGAGTGACGCGAAGGTCGCTAAAGCGGCGCTTGATGGCCGTCCGCGGTTCGACCTCGGCTCCAGAAACGATTGCCCTTGAACTCCCATAGTACACGCGTCGTTACTATTTTTACCATTTTCCCTAATTAATATATCATTTAAATACATATATATCTACCAGCTCTAATCGGTACCGTTTGTTTCCGAAACTACAATTTCACTCTCCATTTCGTATATATCTACTTATCAGTGAGGTAATTTAGGATACATATATTATCGTATCACGGATTTATGGTCTTTATCGTATCTGTACGAGTTATTCTCGAGTGGCGCGTACGTAATAAATCCGTATCGGGCACAGGCTAAAACTGATCGTAATTCGAACGAAAACAACCGCACGATCGAAATTTCGCCTGGATGTTATGAACGTGTGTATTTAAAGAATCCGATAGGAATTCGAATCTCGAACGGATTGAAAGTCCAGATTGGGATAAGGACTGCCCTGGAGGATACCGCGTTCCGTAGTGGCTGGGTGACGAGATTACACCCAGGTCAGCCCACACGTCTAGACGTCTTACAGTTTTCGCACAATGGGCACACGAGGCGTGGTGCCGCGGCGGCACACACCACGGTTGTAAACGCGACAAGATGCGATATGTACGAGCCTGCGTCGCCACTTTTCACCAACCACGCCTCGACCGGTAGGATACACAGAGAGTAGTGGTCATGTACGAGTTCTAGATTGTAAACCATGTAATACACGTATGCACTTCTGGGAAGTCGACACTAGAGATGTTCGATTACGATCCGATTCTTCGGAAGGTCGATTCCCTTGGGTAACACGTCACTACCACGTACAATACTAACGGCCAAAAGTATGAAACCAGAGTTTATAATTAATGGAACATGATCATCATCATGTCACTCATTAACTGCAATAATGATATAAAATAGCAGTTTTTCAGTTATTAGTATAGTAAAAAAAATTGTTGTTTATACTTCTTGTCGGTTGAATCCTGTAAGTAAACAATTCCAAAATTTACCCCGTCAGGACACTAAGGCCGGGATTCATAGTCACTACTTATTCTTAAGCAAATGTTTAAGTCCCCAGTTATGAATAAATACGTGTATACGTATGGACTACACATTCATAACTGGGGACCTAAGCATTTGCTGAAGAATAAGTAGTGACTATGTATCCCGGCCTAAAACACCGTTTTTCCTAAAATCGTGATTTGTGAAAATTACAGTAGTTATTACAGCAAACGAGCGATATGTCTCGCTGCAGTGATTAGTCGAACACGACACGTCACATGACGTAACCTTGTCGTCACCTGTTGCAGCTTTTGGAGCAGCTGTAAGCAGTGGCGCCAGAGTGTAAAGCTGATTTAACAATGCCTCGAGAAGTAGGTTAATGCGCGCATAAACGGGGTCGTTTCGCAAGCTTTTTTCGTCCAGCCAAAACGGAATCGAGTCCAGCGATTTGTTTAGACAAAGCGGGTGTACCGCCACAATGGTTACGTATACGCGTTGAAAGGAAAGTGTCCCTCCAATATTCCGTTTTGTGCAAACACACATTTTATGCAGAAAACGTCCGCATATGTCAGTCTCCTCTTGGCAGTAGGCCAAGGATCTCGGCGTGTTCGTTCTTTCCGACCATAAAAACACTGGCGCGAGATCTGTGAGGTGCTCAAGGTAAATCCGAAATTATCGTCACGGTTACGTCTGTACATTAGATCGTCGGTGTGAATGGAAAACGCGTCCGGTTCGAACCTACAAGGACGACGAATTCGATCGACAAAAAAAGAAAAGAAAACGATTGGATTCCTTCTCTTTTTCTTTGCGAGTGGATTTAATTTATCTTTATTATAAAGAAGCAAGCCTACCACAGATAAAAAGCAATGTTATCAGTGTATGACACTGGCGGTATCTTCGTTAAAATAAACAAATTTTTTTTCTTTCGAAAAAATAAAACTGCAGTTCAACCTTGATTTTTCTGAATTCACATCTGATTGCGGCACAATTCGTCGGACGTTTGTTGAAACAACAAGTTACTGTAATTAATGCTTTTGTAGAATTAGTCAGACTTAATCGTGGAAAGTTCCGCAATGCTAATATCTCTGGCTGAAATCGTAGGATAGACACGAGCGCGTCTTGTACGAATTTATAGCGTAAAAGGGGTCTCACATTCGCTCAATTAATCGCTGCTTGCTTGGAATTATCGAATAGAAGAACATTTTGAATATACAGCCGCTCGAGATAACGAAATCCAGCGGGCCAAACCTTCCCTGCTTCCACTATTTTCGTATGGTCATAGAAACATAATACTATCGCGAATTTTTCCGATTTGATCTTTTAATCCTTCTAAATATTCACGCTAAACCGATTCGGACAAGTGCGAAACAGACTCGAAGAAACGTCGATGAAACATACGAAGACTCAAGGGGGGGGGGGAGAGAGGGAGGGCAACGAATTTATCTCGTTATGCGTGGTAACAACCTTTAGTTAAGGCGATTAGAGTCAGGCGACTCGGCCCGGTCGCGACTGTTATCGTCCGTGGCACGGCAGATTGTTATTTATAGAGAGAAAGTACACGTCTGCACGCGGACCCGCGTGAAAAGGTGCTGCCCGTCCGTCTGTCGTCGCCGTGTCAGTTCTTCCGAAGATTTTTCGAGGCGATTTTTTCAACTTTAGAAAGTCATATAAGGAAACAACGAAAATGTGGCGTACACCGCGACAGGAATCGCCAAAATCATGTGTAATTGAGCAACTTGTACGCCACGCGCGATTTCTAACCTTCCCCGCTTGTTCCCTGTGTGATCCTCTCGCCGCTTCTCGCGTGCAAGGACGAGAGTCCATAAAAAGAAGGATCGTGTCTCTCTTGCGACGTTGGTATTCTACGAGCGACATAAAAACCGAAAACGAATTTCTTACTAAGTTTATAGGCCTATAGGAATAGCAAAATCTCGGATTCAAGTAACTGTTCCTGCATGAATATCGCTCTCGTGCCTTGTAGTGGGAAGCAGTCTTTAGGATTCACCTTTCTATCTGAGTAGCTAAACGATGATAAATGGAGAACACTAATGTCGAACAGTTAGAGTGATTGGCAATCTCTTCATCCTTATAATCCCCGTTTGATAGGATGAAAGACTAGATAAGATATATTGAATCGAATTGAATCCCATTTGATAATACTACATATTACTAGATCAGCCACTTGGTAATACAGGGTGTCCCATATGTACGGGTGCTTTTGTGCTCTTTTTCTCTCGAAGTTCGCCGACTTTACTATGCACTGTGATATACATGCAGACTGTAACGGAAAATCACAATTTAATACCGTTCCAATAGAGGATGGGTCTCTCGAGTATTTCCGATAGGCGATACAGTAAATCCTCGATAAATGTTCGAAGGCTCCCCAGCACTAACAAGCAGTGGTCCCCAGGTGTAACTTTGACTTTTTAATGAGGTTTAGCACAGTGACGGAGCTTGGAATTCCGAAGCCAATGATATTTGTTTCAGTCGCATATGGTTTATGAAATATTTAATGTTCAGTGCAGAGGAGCCTTTGAACTCTTATCGAGGATTCGCAGTATATAACTCCTATTCTGACAAATTGTGGCCACCATTGACTTATGGAACACCCTGCACTAAAGGGTGCGTAGACAGTAAAACCCACCTGATCCTGAATAACGTGAAGGCTGCGTGTTCCAAGAAGTGATTACAACTAACATGCTATATAAAGATTCTCGATCGAATTCAGGATCGGTGTATCTGCGGTGCATCGGGTACAAGATCAACTTACCGTAGAAGTAACGTGCGACCGGTGGGCCTCCTCTCCGGTCCGCGCCGCGCTCTAATCGTCCTCCAATCTCGCGATGACTTTCCCTTCCGCGCGCGAGAGCGTAGTACATATCCCTGGTATATCATAGCTTTTCAACACTTGTGTCGTGTCCATATCGCCTCTCTTCCCCTTCATTCGTCAATATTCTCCTATCCGCCGCTCCCCGTCTAGATTCCTGGCGCCAGTCAGTTGACACACACGCTTCATACGACCGTGTCTCCCTCGTCGTGTGTGTCGTGCTGCGGCGCACGTCCGTGGTTTGTGTGTGTGTATGTGCGCGTGTGTGTGTGTGAGTGAGTGGTGACACGGTGCGGCCTCCGTCCCGCGTGATCTACGCCTCGACAATTAGCCAAGTAAAAACTGGAAGAATTTTCGTACGACTTCGTACACATCGTTTGACGAGAGGGTACACCGCGTGGTTCACCAGTACGGCGCGTCGTTCGTTAGATGATGCCAGGACGCGAACTCGCTCCACGTGCGCACGTTCGCACGGGTGGCGTCCGAGATGCGTGGTATGCTGTCCCGTATCCCGTTGCTGGCGAAACCGTCGCACGCGGCGGTGGTCAGGATATCGTACCGTTTCGGTGGCGCTCGAGGCTGTAACGCGAAAACCAACCTTCTGAAGAACACAGACTAGTACAATGAGGTCCGCGGAATTACAGTATTACCCCGCCCCGCCCGCGAGGCGAGGGAACACTGTGTACAGAGTCGTTTCAATGGTAGTTGTCACAGAAATGGATTTCGATAGTTAAGCAGCAACTATTATAAAATGGTAACTAACACTTTTGGAATAGGTAATCCGTCCAGCTAACTTCATCGAAGCCCTCAGACTGGCTCAGACGCCTGGTGAAGCTAGCCGTCTGGGCAATAGGAGGCCACTAAAAACCTTTCCAAAAGGTTCGCAGTCCCCGCTACCGTACGCCGTTGCGTCCTCCACCGTACACACCTCCAGTTTCTTGCGAACAATGAAGTTCTTTCCCTCGTTGTTGTCCCAGTACTCTTTCCCGTCGGTCCGATACCTCCCGCAGAACTCGACCACGTTTGACTTCAACGGCAGGGTCAAACGAAACCGAAAGGTGTCGTAGAGTATCAAAGCTGGGGCTCCCGGTTGCTCGACGTAGGTGCAGTGCACGTCCTCGTGGGTCTTCCAGGAATCGTTGCTCGCCCTAACAACGACCTCTTTGTCGTACGCGAGATTCCGCACCTTCACGGTACCGACCAAACACTGTTCCGACTCCCTCACTATCACATTTTCCAAACTAACATTCTCCTGGTCGAGCTTCCGGCGGAACGCGAGGTAATCGCTAGCCGGCTGGGGAAACGTCACCTGCCACGGGGACACCAGCTCGCTGGGCTCGTCGCTGTCAATTTTCGTGTGAAGAAGCCGTCCCGTTAAGCCGGCCAGGTATGCCGTGCTCCAGAGCGGCGGAACGTTGCTGGGCTCGGACATCACTCGAACCTGGTACATACAAAACAGGCAGATATTAAATGTCCGTTTTATTTCCTCTCGCGGGATCTCTGTCCAAAGAGGAGATTAGTCCGAAGAGGTGTCTCTACCTGAGTAAGAGGACGACCGCGATCGTCGGCGAACACCACCCTTTTCTTTTGCTTGTTGTTACCATCGTTGCTGCTACGTATGCTGTCGATGGCCAGGGAACCGGACGACAGACACGGCCTTATTCTGGGCGGCACCGACCTGCTGGTAATGGTCGGTGCCGTCACCACCAACGGTCTGTACAGCAACGGGCTGTACACTGGAGGACTATGCCCCAGAAGCAGCTCGGCTGGCATCGCTATGGAACACATCTAGATCTGAAACGAAAATGATTCAAATTATATAGTTTAATTTAGAATAAATAACCTTCTGTTTGAACTCACGTTCATCGAACGATAGTGTATATGTATTCGAAGGGCACTGAGATCTAATCTAAGGACTTGTAAGTCTGAGAGAATCAACAGCTTTGACATCCGACGTAATTAGGATATTCTTCTGCAAGTCAAATATTTGGGCAAAATATATTACTCACAAATAAAAGTAGAGAGGTTGTTTTAAAACGACGTGACGACAAAAAGTCTATTTCGCGATGGATTCCACGGAAGTTTCTCGATTCGTTTATCGCGCCGTCGCGAATCAGGTAATCGACGTGAACTCAATTTCACTTCGGCGGTCGTACTGGCGGAAATTGGAATCCGATGGTGCTTGAACGTTCCAAAGCCAAATATTTAATAACTATGAATACACAGTGCACGTTCGCCAAAAAACGTTTCGTCAACCAACTCCGATCACGTGAGCCACTGACTAACATGAAACGTCGACTTGTACCCTTTGCGCTGAGCAAATATTTGAAGAACATAGCGCGCGCGCGTAGGAAAGTATGTGTACACGCCAAAAAGGGGACTAAGTCCATCTATAGATTTCAATGAAATTTTATCTCTGGGTTGCAGAATGAGCTGACTCAGTCTGTTGACCGACTTGCGAGCGTCGGTAGTCGCGTATGTATTTTTCCGAGTAAATAGAGCTAGAAACCTGTACAGGCAAAAGTGCATTGACATCGGGTACATTAAAACGAAACTCCCCTCAAACAAATAGGTATTTATCATTCTAAATTCCTATGTTCGATGAAATTTCAGCGCGTAAATTAATATTTCGGGTCAGTCGCCCAATCGTGTAGTTCGACCGATTTTACACATGTGTACTTACATTATCGATCAGTTAACACAACACATATCGATGTCCTTCCGATGGTGTTATGTTCTTCGAACAACGCTCGTTAGATACTCTTATTGTAACGTATACACTCGACCTTCGACTGTCAGCTGACCGGTAATTATCCGGTGGTGTCCACTAATTTAATTGTTGCTCTTGTTTAAAGGACAACACACGTCCGAGAGGACCGTGGATATACACTACTCTATCGCGGTGTATGACGGGTCTTCTACATGTGTCGCCCTCCCCCTCAGATAGGTGCATGTAGTCATATTACTCCGTGGAGTAGAATTACGACTCTTAAGTATGGCAATAGTCTCTTCTCCCGCCGTCCCTCGAGGAGACTCGCTCGCAAAACTATACTCTCGACATGTACCAGACCGGAACAAGCGCGCCAACACCCACACACAAGTACAGGAGATCAACCGGTATCGTGAATTGGACGTTTCGTGTTTCAGACAACTCGACTGTACCATACGACGGTCGGTCATTTTCTATTGTACGGTCACCTCTTTAAATCAGTTCGTCGACGTCTAAGCAGACCGGTCAGATGATACAGTTTTCGACCGATTCGATAATTTTCATAATAAAGCAGTGTACACACACGATTCCGTCTCTTCACCGAAAATACAACTTTCACACGTATGCTTACTTCCTCTGTATGTACTCTCACGAGCAAAGTCGGCTTCCACTAGGGAAAAAAGTAACGTAGGGAAAGGGCCTCCTACCACTTGGTATTGGGAATTATTGGAATTCATGCCAAATTAACATTCAATTTAACATGTATATCAGTTGTTCATATAAAATTATTCGAATTTGCTCGTGAGAGTACGTGTGTATAGGGGAACAAGAATAGAAAACTCCAAATTCATATAAGGTCCACAAACAACAAAGATGGCTGCCGCAGCGCGCTTTATCGTCTATACATGAATGTTGCTTTCGACTATTACCAATTTGGTCAAAAAATCGTGTCGTCTGAACTGGCTGTAACGGTAAAAAAAAAAAAACAATCCACCTTTTTCGTATCTCTGCTGAAACCGAAACAGAAACGGCGATACCATTGCACTTACATTTATGCAATTGTGTCATCCGTGCACAGGTGACAAAATAGTGTTAAAGATCGCTGCTCTTTAATGTAACGTATGTACACTTGGTATTAGTTAATAGTCGCGACCGACGACGTGCTAAAAAAAGAAAAGGTTGATATGACTTTTAATGAACGTCGCGAAAAAGAAGCGTTTCACGAGAGCATTATGCATAACTCTCTGTCCTCGAGTGTGTCGCGGAATAACGAAGGGTATAGGTCACACTACGCGAAACACGCTTATGCATTGTTTATCGTTACGTGAACGGAGATGCCAAGGTCCGACGCACAGTAGTACTTGCTCTACTCAAAACACAATCCGAAAAAAGAAACGGAGAACGTCTCTCTTATCGTACTTTTCCCGCCGTCAGACCTCGTTGGTCACATTTTCGAGACTCACAGTTTCTATCCGCGTGCACATACGACTGCATCGGTCGTGTCATTGTGATTTTTTTTCGCGTATCCCTCTCCTCCTCAGGGCTTATCGCGACGAAGAATTTTGTCTTGTTAACTTCTTAACCTGCGAGCTGTGACAACAATAACAACAACAACACGCAGCCGTTTCCAGGAATGAATTTTCCGTTATTTAATGTGAAACTTCTTCGCATTCTTGCACAATAATTGTTTTTCAGCTGATAACCGATTAATTAAGACGAAATAAAGATGGCGCATAAAAGATCGAAACAACGAGTGCACTGGTGAATCGAGTCACGATGCAACGGAATCAAAATTGACCTTTATACCGTGCGAACTTCGTCGCGAGCTTACGTTTGACCCGAAAGTTATTTTCTAAATGCTTCCATATACGCTTGATTTCGAACGCAAGCTCGTACAGTCGAATTTCGAATTTCATCGAAAGCGACTTCTCTACTCATTTCATAGTGTACGACATACGATTCACGGGCCATCGGAACGTGTACCGGTATATCGATTATTCGACGCAGAAATCTACACAGCCACTGGATAAATTGTTTTTCGTCGTCTGTTCTTGGACACGACATTGTTCCAGTTCTCGAAACGAATAAAACGGCAGATACAAGAACGACTGTGCTTTACAACCTATCCTCGTATGTTTACGCGACAGGAATCCATAAAGAGATGACACAGGGGGGGGGGGGTTACACAGGTTACAAGCTCCGTCAGGGAATACCAAACGACGTTCGTTGATACACGGATTTATTTTTATTCCGCGTACTTACCGTCTTAAAACAATAAACTCGACTAATCGGTAATTCACTATTACGGTTCAATTGTCACGAGTGTAGTTCACTCTCTGATGAGTTAAATTTGGAACGCGGTATTTACAGTCTAAGTGTATTATCACGAGTTCGCATTGTATCCGAAAAAAACGTTGCGCGAGAGACCGGTCGAGTGATGTAACAGTTTTATAAATTACTCCGGCGCTATTTAAGGCGTATCGTGCAAAGAGGAAAAGTACGGGAAGCGGAACCGACGTCGAAAAAAAAAAAAAAGAAATCAAGTCTATTCTTGCGCGAGCCAGGGGCGTTGAGGGACACGATAAAGAACAACTCAAAGTCTAGATAATCACCGATCACGCTCGCGTCGATGCATCTTCGTGATATTTCATAACTCACGGACAGATTGTACCCCGTTACAAATACATACGTGTGCGTTTCAACTATCTTGAATCACTGTGAACGGGACACAGACGAGATAACGCAGGGAACCGTCTCCTGATCCAGACGAAACGCACTGTCGATTCTGCTTGTTTCCCACACGTCTGTCCCAGTCCCTCTTGTTTTACTATCGATAAACCTAGACAACACCCGTCCATGATCGATCGGTAAAGTGATTTTTTGTTCATAACCCCACGTACAATTTGGCATGACTAATCGATACCGAAAGTACGTTAGAAATAACGTATCTCGATCCTGGTGTACGTAGTCATGGAAGAAGGCATGTTCATGTTTCGTGACTCGGACGAGAAAATTGCGCAGCCCGTCATGCTATTTCGAACTTGCGCCGGGTTAAAATTAGCGGGACGCATCTTCTAAACGCTACATACACCGAGACACGTTACGCCCTTGGAACCGATCCAATCGTCTACCTTCTAAGGGACGGAAATGGACCGGTTGTGTCGAGTCGAATATCAAAGAACGGGCTCGCTTGTGCGTGAAAGTTTTCAAACGGAAAAAAAAAACATTTGGTTTTCTTTGATTGTTCCCGTGCCTATCGACCCCGTCATCGTGTCCAAGTACTTAATTGATGCAGTGAGAAAACGTTTGCAGCTACAAACAACATACGTGAGAGATCCAGGCACGAGACTGTACCCACGTGTGCTGCGAACAAATCGATGCTCGGCTGTTTGTGGCGTCTAGCCGCTAAACGCCGCTGCTTAAAATAACTGTCTGGTGGGATCGTCAAGAAACTTGATCCATGGTTTACTTTCTTCTATTGTATTTACTTCGTCCTCTCGGTGACTCGAAGAGCTTTCGACCGTTATTTTCCTACGAATATTGTATTTTCCGACCGTCATTCTGAAATGCGTGTACACCCACGAGCAACTTCAACTTCCACGGTGTAAGTTCCACTAGGCGAAAAATTGGTGTAGGGGAAGGGCCTCCTATCACTTGGTATCGGGAATTAATGAAATTTATGTGAAATTAACATTCGATTTAACATTTATTTCAGTACCTGAAATAAATTTACCTAGAAGGCCCTTCTTCTTCGTCACCTTTTCCCCTAGCGAAAGCCGCGAGTTTTCTCGCGAGGGTATGTATACGTTGGAATTCTTTTTTGTCGGTTTATTGAAGAGTACGCAATGCTTTCTGTGAAATTTCATTCAAACAAATGAAACCGGGCGTCGCGAGGGCAGACACACGTTACAAGTCAACGAGTATCATTGATAAAATATTATTTTTAATCCGTGCCCGCGATTACAGGGAATTTATATTGAACGGGGTGTTATCTGACCGAACGTCGCGCGCAAGCAAAAAGTCGCGGTATTTCAATGTGAACGCATTTCAATTATAATGAAATTCTCTTCTATTGTTAATTACT